CCCCCTCTCCCCCCCTCTCTCCTCCCCTCTCTCCTCCCCTCTCTCCTCCCCTCTCCTCCATCGTGTTTCGAAGACATGCCTGGGGCCATCAGGTCGTAATCACCCTCTCCGCCTCCCGCCACGCCGGGTCGTGATTTCCCCATCACCGCCCAGGTGTTGCCCGGGAGGGGGCAGGGAGAGAGGAGGCCCCGACTGGCAGACACAAGGTTAGTCTGTCTCTGCTCACTTAATCCACTTGCCCTCCTTCTCCTCCCCCTCCTCCTCCTGCTCGTTTTTCCTATCGTCTTCCTCGTCGTCCTCCTGCTCCACCTGCTCCTCCTGCTCCTCCTGCTCCTCCTGCTCCTCCTCCTCCTCCTCCTCCTCCTCCCTCTCATTCTTTGATTCTTTGCATCCCCCTCCTACTCTTCCTCCTGCTCATCGTCCTCCTCGTCTTCTTCCCCTCCTCCTCCTCCTCGTTGGCCTTTTTATTCCCCTTGTCCTCTGTCGCTTCTGCCCTTCCTCCGTGTCCAGCACCCTGATCGACATACTCATCGGCGGCATCCTCCTCCTACCCTTCCTTCGACTCCATCACCGTGATCGACATTCTCATCGGCGGAAATTCCATGAGCCCCATTGTGTCAGTCGGCTCAGGGGCTTGCTGCACCGCTCGCCGAGTGAGTAAAATGGCGACTGCATCTACACCTAGAAGCTGGGGAGATGCACACACTATTTATTAAAAATTGGATTCTGTCTTTTTCACAGTCAGCGAGTGGTCCATGAGCCCGTTGTGTCTATTCCGTTAAGCATTCCGTTAAGGAACGAAGAGCCACCGCTGCACCGCATAAACGGGATGAAAATCGGCTTAGGACCTGGCTGCACTAATCTCCAAATGGGTAAAATGGCGAGTGTATAGTCACCCAGAAGGTGGAAAAATGCACGCAGTTTTTTTTTTTTTCAAATCTTTTTCACACCCATTGCGTAACAAGGGAGGGGGAAGGCAAAAAAAAACAAAAACAAAAAAAAAACCTTATGAAGATGGAGAGGGATGAAAACGGGAGTGGGAAAATATTCTGGTGCTCAAAAACACCATGGATGTCACACCATTTGGCACTCAGACCCGTGTGCTGCAGTTGTCTTTGAAGTTTCAAAAGAAAATATTAAACAAAAAGAAAATAAATAAATAAAAACGCGTGCTGAAAAGAAAACAAACAGAAATGCCATGTCCGATTCACTATATTATTATTAATTTATGATTTTTTTATTGTTAACGGGTAACACGTTTGAGATATCATCGCCGAACTGACTGGCCAGAATTAACCGTTGCCAGAAATATCTCATCATGAAATATCTCATGCCATTCATTTGGTTCCATCTGGGTTCGACCTCAGGTCCGTAGTTCAACAATTCATGTGTGATACCAGCTGAGCTAGGCCTGTTGGTTACGCAAAATTATGCTTTCCATTCCCAGCAGGAAGCATTCTTCTCTTCCTTAATGACACGCCACGTGTCATTTTTTTAATCATTCAAGAGAAGGACAATGTGCACGGTTTTCCAAAAACCCGTCTTTTACCATGTGCTCTCTCTCTCTCTCTCTCTCTCTCTCTCTCTCTCTCTCTCTCTCTCTCTCTCTCTCTCTCTCTCAAATGCGTCTTTTACAATGTGCATGGTCTCCGTACACCTGTCAAAAATGCGTCTTTAACAATGTGCATTCTCTCTCTCTCTCTCTCTCTCTCTCTCTCTCTCTCTCTCTCTCTCTCTCTCTCTCTCTCTCTCTCTCTCTCTCTCACA